TGCAAGATCCAATTCCAATGCATTAAAGAAAACAGTAGTGTGTCTATAAACCCCAGTAGACTATTGCACTTGTCAAATGGACCTTGGGGAATCCATAGCCTCTTGTTTTAAAGAATGCCTTGGGTACCTTTATGATTCAGCAGTTACTGGAAGACGGTCCCTCCTACTTGGATTATTCTAATGGGTGGAGGTTGCTGGGAGGTGGCCCCGGGGATGGCAGAAACAGGGATCTTCACCAGGCTTTGGAGAAAGACCAGCTTGACTGGTTCCAGAGTGATGAGTTTGAAGCCAGGCAGAGACTGTCTCCTGCAGTTTATGCTGATCATAACCCTACTGTAAACTCAACTTTACACATAGAGCTCATGGTCACATATGTATCCCCAAGAACACACATCTCCACAAGGATATGAGAACCCCAAGGTCTGTTCTGGACAAAACACTGCTTCCTGCTTTCCTGCTCCACCCCATCCTTGCAGCGCTGTCAGTTCTTGCTAAAGGACACCTCTAATGCTTCTTAAATTGCACATGAGTGAAATCATACGGTGTTTTTCTTTGATTGACTTATTTCACTTAGCATAACACACCCTAGTGCCATCCACGTTGTCGCAAATGGCAAGATTTCATTCTTTTTTTTATGGCTGAAGAGTATTCTGGTGTGTGTGTGTGTGTGTGTGTGTGTGTGTGTGTGTGTGTGTGTGTATCACATCTTCTTTATCCATTCAGCAGTCAATGGACAGTTGGACTCTTTCTGTAATTTGACTGTTGTCGACACTGCTGCTAAAAACTTTTTTTGGGGGGCGCCTGGGTGGCTTAGTCGGTTAAGCGTCCGACTTTCACTTAGGTCATGATCTCGCAGTTCGTGGGTTCGAGCCCCGCATCGGGCTCTGTGCTGACTGCCAGCTCGGAGCCTGGAGCCTGTTTCAGTCTGTGACTCCCTCTCTCTCTGACCCTCCCCTGCTCACGCTGTCTCTCTCTCTCTCTCCTAGAAATAAATTTTTTAAAAAAATTAAAACTTTTTTTTAATTAAAAAAACTTTTTAAATGTTGTATTTATTTCTGAGAGAGAAAGAGAGACAGTGTGAGCAGGGGAGGGTCAGAGAGAGAGGGAGACACAGAATCTGAAGCAGGCTCCAGGCTCTGAGCTAGCTGTCAGCGCAGAGCCCGATGCAGGGCTCAAACCCACGAACCGTGAGATCATGACCTGAGCCAAAGTCAGAGGCTTAACCGACTGAGCCTCCCAGGCGCCCCTAAAAACTTTGAATTAGTATTTTTGTGTCCTTTGGATACAAAGTAGTTTGGATACTTTGGATACAAAGTATTTGCACTACAAATACTAGTAGTGCAATTGCTGGATCATAGGGTAGTTCTATTTTTGAGGAACTTCTGTTTTGCATGGTGGCTGCACCAGTTTGCATTCCCACCAGTACTGTAAGAGGGCTCCCCTTTCTCTGCATCCTCACCAACACCGTTGTTTGCTGTGTTGTTAAGGTTAGCCATTCTGACAGGTGTGAGGTGGTTATCTCCTCGTGGTTTTGATTCGTAGTTCCCTGATGAGTGATGTCGAGCATCTTTTCATATTTCTCTGGGCCATTGGGATGTCTTTTTTTTTTTTTTTTGAAAAATGTCTCTTCATGTCTTCTGCCCATTTTTAAACTAGATTATTTGTTTTTGGGGTGTTGAGTTTTAGAAGGTCTTTATAGGGGCACCTGGGTGGCTCAGTTGGTTGAGTGTCTGACTTCAGCTCAGGTCATGGTCTCATGGTTTGTGAGTTTGCCCCCACGTCAGGCTCTGTGCTGGCAGCTTAGAACCTAGAGCTTGCTTTGGTTTCTGTGTCTCCCTCTCTCTCTCTGCCCTTTCCATATTTTGGATACTAATCCTTTATCAGGTATGTCATTTGCAAATATCTTCTCCTCTAGGACAGCTCTAAAGGAGTAGCTTCTGCTGAAAACCCTTCAGGCTAACACGCCCTGATTGGACACCAGCTTAGATATAAGCTGGATTCAACTCCTACCCTGGAAGGCAGAATAATGGCCCCCAAGGGTGTCTACATTCTAACCCTTGGAGCCGGTCAATGTGTTACATGGCACAAGGGACTTTGAGGTGGCGGAGACTATCCTGGATTATCTGGTTGGGCCCAACCTACTGACACGAGCCCTTAAAAGTGGAAAGCCTTTCCTGGCTAAGGGAGATGTGAGGATGGAAGGAGGGTGAGACAGATAGGCCATTGCTGGCTGCGAAGGAGGAGGAAGGGGCCACAAGCCAAGAAATTCCGCTAGCCTCTAGTGGCTAGAAACGGCAAGGTTGTGGATGCTCCCCCAGAGCCTCCAGAAGGAAATGCAACCCTCCGGACATCTTGATTTTACCCAGTGAGACTCCTGTCCACTACAGAACCGTAATAAATTGTATTGTTTTTATGACACTAAAGGTGTGATCATCTATGAGAGCAAGAGCAAACGAATACATTTCCTATTGAGCTTCCTCTATCTAAGCACATGGTCCCTGGCTATTCTTCCTCACAATACCACGTGCTCTGCTCCCTCCACCTCTGTGCCTGGGCTGCTGGCCCTGTTTGGGACACTCGGGTCACCTTTCCCCTGAGCTCTTACTAACAACTGCCTTTCACCCCGCCCTGTGCTCAGCACCACCCACCTGCCAGTGGCATTCACCCTTCGGCCCCGCCCCTCCTGCGGGCTCCCCACTAAACTATAAACTCCTTGAAGCCGCCATCAGTGATTTATTTCCCCCAGAACTCCATGACCAAGAGGGGTCCACAGAGGTCTGTGTAATGAACCTGGGGCATCGTGGGTAGTACCTCTGGTTCTTAGCCTCTAACTGCCCAAGATGACCGGGGAATCTTAACACAAGTCCTAATTCTACCAGCCTGCCACGGACGAACGGGAGGCAGCCCCACGTGTACTTTTGGGGTTAAGGTCTCCAGGATTCAGAGGTAAGTAGAAGCAGCAGGAGGAAGTTGAAGATTGAGCGTGTTGCCATTTGTGTGAAAAGGGAAAAATATATCTATATAAGTTAACAAAGACTGGTCTGTCTTTGAAAAGGTATGAAAAACAGGTAAAAGGACAGAAACCCCTGGAACCTTCTGAATTCTGCACCATCTATATGTATGGTCTCTTTACAAAAATAAATAAAATTGTAAAAAATCAAAAATACAGACTCTGACTGTATTGCCAGAAAGGACCCAGCGTGTCTGCCAGCTCATTCTGTCAGACATGGAGTTGTCAGGAAGAGGGCAGAGTCGAGATGCAAAGGATATTTGGAAGCATAAACTTCTAATGCACTTAAAAAAAAAAAAAAAGAACTGGAAAGTTCTCCCAGGGATCGTGATGCCTGGGCTGGGAACCCACTGATTTAGTCCCACCTCTGCATCTTAGGGATGAGGAAAGAGAGGGAGAGTGGCTTCTCAAAGCTCCATAGCCAATCAGAAGCACAGGCCGGGGGGGGGGGGGGGGGGGGGGGGACAGGAATGATAATGACAGTGACCTTGACTCCCAGCCCCTGTTCCCCTTCAAGCAGGGACGCTGCCGCTGCCGACTCCCAGGGCAGGAGGACAGGAAGATAGAGAAGAAATCACCACCTTTATTCAACCCACCTGCACATAAACCAGGGGGGCACTCCCTGCCTTGCAAGGTCCCAGTTAGAAAAAAACTTGGTCCCCTTGCAAAATCTATATTATAAAAACAAAAGGCTTCGAAGCACCAGAGGCTAAACCCGTGGAGGAGAAAGGAGGCTGGGTGTGTGGGGGCGGGAGGAGGGGGCTGGAGGCAGGAGCTGGCCTGGAGGTAGGGTCCTATGCGAGCTGCCCCCTCCTTGAGCTGCCCCCTCCTTGGGCCTTCCGCACAGCCACTGAGGCAGACCACCTGGGACCTCAGTGCCTGGAGGAACCGGAGGAACTCCTGAGTCTGGCTCCTTGACACAGCACTGCAGATGGGACGGTGGGGTGGGGTCCTAGCTCAGCATATTTTGGCCTCAGACAGCAGGGAATGCTAGATAAGACGGTGGAGGCAAGGGATGGAGCGGTCGCCATGGACGGGCTCAGGTGTACAAACCATCTGTGTTTCCCTCCAAGCCTCCCGTGCCCTCTTTCCTAACCCAGGACCGCTCCTGTTTCACAAACTGGGCGCCAAGGCCTGATCCTGCTGCCCTTGGACTCCCAGCTGGTACACAGGAGCCGAGGTCCTCAGGGGTGTCTGTGGAAGGAGATGGGGAGAAAGAGCTCTCATCGTTGTTTGCCCTCAAGGGTGCTGGCCTTTCCGACCCCACACCATGACCCACCCCCCCAGTCTGCCTCTTCAGAACTCCTGGGCTTGTTAGACGTTCTCCTGGACACTGGAGCGGTCACAAACGCTGGTGATCTTTGAAAACTGGTGACCGGGCAGCACTGAGCAGCCCTCTTCCATTCCAGAAGCACAGGGCTTCCAACTGGGAGGTGGAGGGGACCATCAGGGTTCGTGGGGTTGCTGAAGAGGTAGGGATCATGGCTGCAGCAGACCCGGCCTCAGGGACCTGGAAGGGGGTGGGTGGCGGAGGTGTGGACACCCCTCTTACTGGAAAGAGCTTGAAAGGTCTGCCAAAGGTGGGCAGGGGCCGAGTCTAGGAGGGCTTCCCTGTGGGTCAGGCTGAGTCCAGGGCTCTAGGCTCTGTTCATCTGGTTCCCAAGAGAACAGGTATTGCTTCAAGAGAGGCCTTGGCAAATGGTGGTGGTGGTGTGTGTGAGTGTGGTATAGATCATGTGGGTTCTAGAGTGTCCCAGATGGAGGGGGGCTTGGATATGAATTCAGAGACCAGACCTAGGGTTTTGGAGCCTGAAACTCCAGAAAACTACACCGTGTCCAAGGCCCGCCTCCACCCAAAGCCTAGCTGTGTGGCCTCAAGCAAACGCTTCAGCTCTCCAGGCCTCAGTTTCCATATCTGCAAAATGGGAATTATAATCCCAGCCTAGCCCAGGGATTTAAGAGTCAAATGAAAAGGCTAGAACGAGTTTCATCTGCTAAGAGATTCTTTTAATGATTTGAGGGAAACTGAGGCCCAGAGAGGCCAAGGGCCTTGCCAGATGTCACAGAGTCAGTGACGCTGCAATTGGAACGCAGGACTCCTGTTTCTAGGTCACAGGAACTCTCCCCAGGGCTGGTGAGTGAGTGTGGTAAGATGGGGTGAATGCCATTTCTCTCTGGACAGGGGACTGGAAGTTGGGTGAAGGGTTTGGAAAGGAAGAGTCTGGAGAAGGGAGGGAGGCCCCGGCGCACACCAAGGCTGAGATAAAAAAAATACAAACCCCGCGATTCCCCTCCCCCGCCCGGCCCGCCCAACCCTTGGAGTCGGGCTGCAGAAGGCCAAGTCTATGTCCATGGCGGACCCAGCCAGCTCAGGCTGCAGTCAGTCCGCTAGCCGCCAGGGGGCGCGCCTGCCATTTCGGCCAGAGCAGGCGGCCGCAGCTTCAGTCTAGCCAGCAAGCAAGGGGCGCCCGGGTGGGAGCGCCACAGAAGCTACCCGGACCTGCAGACAACAAAGGCAGGTTAGGAAAGCGAACCCCGACAGTATGGGGGCAGAGAGATCCGGCTGACCTCTCTGCCCTTCTTCCCCCCCACCCCAAGCAACGCTTTGGTCCCTCCACCCCACCCCACAGGGCGCCATGACCCACGTGTACAGAGGCTGCAGTTGTAAATGCGACGTCTTCTGGGGCGCCTGGTATCCATAGGAGTCAAAGCCACCGATGAAGTCAACTGTGGAAGGGGAGGTAGCGCATAGTTAGGGATGATGGGCCTGTGGGGTGCGAGTTATGGGAGGCTGGGTCCTGAAACGGAAGAAATCTGAGGGTTTGATCCCATGCTCTTAGGGCCAGACCTTGCTGCCAGGTCCCAGTAGGTGGGCCTATGGGGAAGAGGACATGGAGAAGCTCGGCCAGAGTGGCCAAAGCCCTAAGTTAACAGAGAGCCTGAGGGGCCGGGGTGGGGGGGCGGTGGGGTGAGGCCGTCCGTTAAGGGAGCAGGGCTTGAACCTCTTAAGGGGGCAAGACCTCGGAGATGGAGGGTGCTAATGGGGCCTGAGACTGGGCATGGGCGGTGTTTGGTAGGGGTGAGCCTCATGGAGCTCCTCCGAGGGGCAGAACCTAAGAGGGGTGGGTAGAGAGCAGTGCTGGAACCGTGGACTGGACACCTGGATGTCTAGGTCACAGCTCAAAATGCGCTACGTAGACCCCGACTACCCCTGCTGCCTCTTCTTCCCTACCAGGAGGGGCCAGTTGGCCAACCCAGCGCTCCCTCCCTCGAGGGTGCTTGGGGCGCTGTCCAGGGTGCTGATGGCACGGGGTGGGGGTGGGGGTGCGCTGCTGGGCTTCCCCACTCCTGCGGGGCTGGGCACTCACAGCTGTCCTCCTCTTCCAGGAACACTTTGCTCACGTAGCAGGCGAACACAAAGCCGAACAGCTGGGGGCGGAAGGAAAGAAGACAGAAGCTCTTCCCCCACCCTCCGCCTGGCCAGGCCTCATCCGACTGGAGGGGCAGGGTGTGCTAGGATGAAGGCCAACCCATGACAACTTCCAGTTAAATGACTGCGTCTTCCGGTCAAACATACCTGGTTCCATTCTCCATTCTGCGAGTGGACTTTGGACAAGTAATTGTTTAACCTCTTTGAGCCTCAGTTTCCCCAGCTGGACCTGGGCAATACTCTACTGACTTGTTAAGAGGAAAGAGGATTATACGGCTTTGGGCATGTGGAGCCTGGAGGGCAAGACTAGAAACTATTACTGTCTTGGGTCCACTGTCACAACTCTTATGCGCTTGATGCGGTCCTCCAAGGTCACACAGCAGATACACTGGAGACTGGGTGACTCGCAGTCCGATCGCTCATTCTATTCATTAAACCTGCTCACTCCTGGTTGGGGCAGGGGTGAAGGGAGAAGGTACAAGCTATGGAGACAGAGCCAGACAGAAGCACAGGCAGGCTGGGAGATCTAGGTTCTTCCCTTCTTAACGAGAGCTAAACAAAGGGGTTGGGGTGGACTCCACCTCTGGGAGTGTGGGGGCCAGGGGGCCAGGAGGACTCACAGCCAGGAAGATCTGCAGAGCACTGCTGAGTGCTTCAATGTAGGGATAGTCAAGCAGGCAGCCAGTGACAGAGATGACATGGTGGTCTTCCAGGGCCAGGCGGGAGTTCAGGACAGGTGTCACCAGACAGCCTGGGCCATTCTCCATCCACCAGGAGCGGTGCAGGGACGTGTTGAAGGTCATGATGAAGTCCCGGTCCTGGGGGCAGAGGGGCCTAGGATACTGAGCTGGGGCCATGGGGAGCCACGAATTTTCCCCAGGCAGCAGGGAACTTTCTCTAAAGCCTACTTTCACACCCGGACTGTTGAAGCCTGGCTTGATTTGAAGGGTCTGGAGGAGGTGTGTTTCTGCACATCTATATTTGGCCAGTAGGTGGCGCTGGATGACTATGCGGGTCTTACACTTCCCTCAGCTATGGAAGGGGCTGGCGCTGACCCACAGACGCCCCAAAATGTCAGGGATGGAAGGGACATTAACAGTGACTGAGTCCAATTTTCCAGCCCTGGGTGAAATTCTCAACACAGACCCCTTCACAGCCCATTCAGCCTCTCCAATGCTCTCTGTGTGTGACCCTGGGCAAACGTTTCCTCTCTTTAGTTCTCGGTCGGCCCATCTGAGATGAAGTGCCTGGCTTAGATCAGAGGTTCTCGCCCACGGCGTCTCTGTGTTTATCCATCCATTCACTCGTGCAGCCTGTTAACAAATATTCGCCAAGGGCTGAGCAGGTGCCACGCACTGAGATGTGTCCTCTCATTTCATTCCCTCAGCAGCCCCATGAAGTACCTATCTGCACTCATTAGACAGGAAAACTGAAGCTCAGAGAAGGCAAGCCCAGGGTCACACCACCTGGAAATGTTGGAGCTGGGATTTAAATCCAGCAGAACTACGAAGCCAGTGTTCCCATTCATATATTTTGCCTTCTTTACGTCTAAAAACTGAAGTTGTGCCCGCTGGGCTTGCTCTTCTACAAGCTAAGAACTTCCACTTTCTTCAGTGGTTCCGCACTGGCACTTGGTCCACTCAATTCTCCCCGCAAAGTCTGCTTTGTCTCTTTCCCTTCTGAAAATATTGATCAGACGGGACTCAAATCGGGGTGCCTTGCTGGCTCAGTCGGTGGAACATCTGACTTGATCTTGGGGTCGGGGGTTCAAGCCCCAGGTTGGGTGTAGAGATTACTTAAAAATAAGACCTTAAAACAAAAACAAAAGCGAAAAAGAACTGGACCCAGGGTGCCTGGGTGACTCAGTCAGGCGCCAACTTCAGTTCAGGTCATGATCTCATGGTTTGTGTGTTTGAGCCCCACATTGGGCTCTGTGCTGACAGCTCAGAGCCTGGAGCCTGCTTCAGATTCTCTGTGTGTCTCCCTCTCTCTCTGCCCCCACCCCTGGCACTCACACTTTGTCTCTCTCTCAAAAATAAACATTTAGGGGCGCCTGGGTGGCTTAGTCAGTTAAGCGTCCGACTTTCGCTTAGGTCACGATCTCACGGTTCGTGGGTTCGAGCCCCGCGTCGGGCTCTGTGCTGACTGCCAGCTCAGAGCCTGAAGCCTGTTTCAGAGTCTGTGACTCCCTCTCTCTCTGACCCTCCCCTACTCATGCTGTCTCTCTCCTAGAAATAAATAAAACATCAAAAAATAAATAAATAGGGGCGCCTGGGTGGCTTAGTCGGTTAAGCCTCCGACTTTCGCTTAGGTCATGGTCTCGCGGTTCGTGGGTTCAGGCCCCGCGTCGGGCTCTGTGCTGACTGCCAGCTCAGAGCCTGGAGCCTGTTTCAGTCTGTGACTCCTTCTCTCTCTGACCCTCCCCTGCTCACACTGTCTCTCTCTCTCTCTCTCTCCTAGAAATAAATAAAATATAAATAAATAAATAAATAAACATTAAAAAAACTCAAAAAAAAAAAAAAAAAAAAAAAAAAAAAAAAAAAAAAAAAAAAAAAAAAGAACTGGACCCAAATCTTTGTTGCCTTAGCAGTACAAAGTGCATGGCATTTTTGTCTCCCTTGCACCGAACACCTGCGGGGCCTAAGAGCAGTTTTCAGGGGCATTACGTGTGGTTGGTTTCTAGCGAGCTTGGGGTCATCCAGGACCCCAGCCCATCTTCATGCAGATGGCCCTTCAGACCATTGTTTGTTCCCAGCAGGTGCAGGGAGCAGATTATTTGGGTGCGTGGAGTGAAGTCTCTTCCAGAAATGATGCCCCGGGCCCACTCCTAACTTGGAGCCCTTGGGTAGAGGGGACAGGAAAGGTCAGGCTCTGCCCTCTGGCACTGCCAAGCCCGAGGCTTACCTGGGACAGCTGTCCAACCTCCAGGTAGAAGCAGATGATAAATGCATTCCAGCCAACCCAGAGCACCAGCCAGGCTGCATACTGGGGAAAGGAGAGGCGGGATCAGGGCGGGGCCTGGGCAAGTGGGGAGGGGGCGTGTCAACGTAGACTGAGCTCACAGACTGTGGGGACCTTTGCAGGGGGAAAGGATAACGATCTCTCACTTAGCACTTTATTGTTTACAAGTTGTTTTCATATCCATCCAGTCCTTACAACAACAGCCCTGCATGGAAGGCGCCATCCTTTCTTTAAAGATAACTAATGTCAGCCCTGGAGAGGAAGTTTAAGTTTTCCAAGATCACACAGCTAGGAAGAGATAGGGCCGCCACTCAAACTCCAGTCCTCTGGCAGCTAATCCGACACATTCTGCAGAGAACAGCAGATGCAGCCTGGCTCTGGAGAGGATCTGGATATTTCCACCCAAGTCCTATGCGATCTGTGCTGCCACACGGCAGAAAGTGATGCTTAGAGTGGTGCCCGGAGCTTTCCTGAGAGCCAGAGAGAAGCAGTCTCCCACTGCAGGTGACACAGCTTTGAGAGGGCCCTGATCACCTGGCCTCTGGGAGCTCAGCCTGAGGGACAGGGGGGAAACCCAAGAATGAGCCAGAGCATGGCACTGGTATCACAGGTATCAAGCATTTATGTAATAAACCTACTCAAAAGCCTTTTCCCTCAAAGAGGTGGGTGAATGGGCCACTGAGGAAGAGCAGGGGAGAATGGTGAGCCCACCTGAAAACAGGAGCTTGACAGAGACCATCAAGGACCAGGGCTTGGAAAGGGGACATAGGAGGAGGGAGCCAGGGACATAATCCACTCCTGGGATCGGAGCACATCGGACACTGACCTCAGAGCCACACTAGCGGCTCTAGACCATATTCCTCATGAACAGCAAAGGGCAAGTCTCCCTAAAGCGACCTGAGAAACTAAACAAGATGAAGTCTGTCCCTCCGCTGGCTTCCGGAGGCAGCATGGAGATGTGACAAGAGCGTCCACCCTGGATCTGATGCTCTGACCCTGCCCCCTTATTAGCTGTGTGACCTCAAGAAGCCTCGGAACCTTTCTGAGCCTCATTTCCTCATCTGGAAAATGGAGATGGCAAGCTGTACCTTGCAGGGCTGTTGTAAGGATAAGCCAAACCTGAGAAACGATTAGCACTGTGCTTGGCATACACTAGGCACTCACTAAATGATATATCTTGTTAATATTTGGAGTTTTCCCTAGGAAATTCTTTAGGGAGAATACCGATCTTGTCTCTCTGCTGAGCAAAGAACCATTGGTTAACGGGGCATCCGTACCACCAGCCAGGCTGGCGCTAAGACAGAGCAGGGGGTCTGGGTGTCCGGGATAGGAGGCAGTTCTGGCTGGAGGGGTGGGGGGGGAGGGGCAAGCGAGCCATACCAGAATGAGGTACCGGGAGCGGTACTGCACGGTGCCGAAGATGCCCAAGATGACTGCCATGATGTGCAGGAAGTTGGCTAAGATAGGAGCCCACTGATAGCCCAGGAAGTCAAAGATCTGCCGCTCCAATGCAGCCACCTGTGGGAGAGAGAAGGCTGAGGCCACGTCCACCAGGGGCAAGTGAAGGCCAGGGAGTGAAGGGAAGGGAAGGGAAGGGAAGGGAAGGGAAGGGAAGGGAAGGGAAGGGAAGGCATTCCTCCTTGACCTTGTGGGGCAAGTGACACCCCCTTACCGTGGTGCCAGGGCACCACGACCTGACTGTACCCAGATCTCCGAGTCCTCCTAACTCCACGACACCACGAGGATATGGGGAAGCGGGGTCAAGTGTGTGGGGGGCCAACTGAGACTGAGCCCGGATGGTTACTTTGGGGAGGGCTAACGGGAGCCCAGTTCAGAACACCTTCAGGGCCAAGAGGCTCTCCCCACTAGTACCTGACCCTGCCCTGTGGGGGGCTCTGAGCAGGTGGAGTTAGAATCCAGGCTGCTCCCCACCCCTCTGCTCTGGCCAAGGGCAGAGCCATAGCCCTGAGGGGCTAGGAGTCCCTTCTTCCAAGGACTCCGGTCTGGAGGTTGCCCTGGTCCGGAGATCCATGGGCTGCAGAGAAAGGGATATATAAATATATATATTTTTACTCCCCTTCCCCAAGGGAGCTGTCATGGGTTGCAAAATTGACCTCAAGTGTTTTCTCTCCACGTTTCCATGCTCCTTGACAGTGCCCTCCCGCACGAATGCTGCATGGTCATGTGACTTGCTTTGCCCAATGGGACTTTAACAAGCAAGTGAAGATCCGAAAAAATGCTTCTGTGCTGGAGTTTGCTCACTTGCTACACTTGTAACACAGAGAACACCATGCAGAAGAGCCCGGGTGCCTGCCTGGAGCAGGAGAGGGGAACCGAGACACCTTAGCTGACAGCCAATCAACCTTCAGGCATGTGAGTGAGGCCCTTCTAGATCATTCCAATGCTAACCAACCCACCAACTGACCTAAAACATGTACCCAGACCAGAAAGATCTCCCAGATGACCCGCTGAATCAGGAGCTCAATAAAAAGGTTGTTTTAAACTGCTGTTACGGAATGATTTGTTACCCAGCAAAAGCTAACTGATATAGGACCCAATCAATACCCCCTTTTCCAGTAGCCCCTGGTTCAACCTTGCAGCTGATGCACTTAAGGACTCAGGTGCCGCGGTGCCCTGGTGGCTCAGTCAGTTAAGTGTCTGACTCTTGATTTCAGCTCAGGTCATGATCTCACAGTTCATGAGTTCGAGCCCTGCATCAGGCTCTGCGCTGACAGGGCAGAGCCTGGTTGGGATTTTCTCTCTCTGCCTCTCTCTCTGTTCCTCCCCTGGCTATGCTTGCTCGCTCTCGCGCGCAGTCTCCCTCTCTCTCAAAATAAATAAATAAACTTTAAAAAAAAAAGAACAAAGGTGCCAGGGATATCCATTGTTATTGATTGTTCAATACGTCTTTTTCTGGGGATAGACCCATCTCTTTGTTTTGGGTACCACCTCCCAACCCTTAGTTCATGTGGCATGGGTGGGGACAGCCCACCTCTTATTTCAGCGGAAGGCTCAGGACCCAGTCCTAACCAAATAATCGGCACACAGGGATCCCCTGAGGGTCACCGTGAATGGTTGCTGGAGTAATCAGGACAGAGATGCCCTCTATCTGCCAGGGTATCTGAATGAGCATCGGGTGACTCAGAGCTGTTGGTGGCCGTCTCTGCCATCTCACAGGGACAGCCTGCTTGAGACCCAAAGCTAAGGGGCAGAGAGGGAAGCAGAGTAAACAACCGAGGTGAGTGTCTAGGTGACATCAATGCAGGTCTGAGGATCTGGCCATGCCGAAAACGAATTCTCCCTCCCTGCACTTGGGATTTCTGTCCCTTGTGACCACAAGCCCTGACCTAAAAAAAAAGGGGAGGAGGTGGATCTGGCTGGGAAGGGACGGGGAAGGTTGTGATTGAGAAGATCCTAGAAGCCTTTCTCCTGGCAGGCAGGCAGGAGGAGGTGGAGCTGACGCCATCACACAGATGGCAGTGCTCGGGCAGACACCCAGGAGGCCGTGGGCCCAATGCTGGCCCCCACCCAGCTGGCACCAGCCTGCCTCTCGTTGGTGACTCCTCTCCCGGAGCCCCGCAGATTGGAAAGAGCTTTCCAAGTGCATCTCTTATGGATACTCCTTGGCAGAAAAGCACGGCTGAGATCATTACCTCATTCTGAAGAAAGAGACCATGAGGCTCAGAGAAGAGAAGTGACTTGCCCAAGGTCACACAGCAGGTAGGAGGCAGAGCCAGGCAGTCATTCTGCTTCTCTCTGCCACCTGTCCCAGCTTGGCAAGCAGCCCCTCACCTTGCCCATTGGCATTGGCCTGGAAGGGAAGAGGTGTGGGTTCTGGCTGACAGTCTGACAGACTCCCGGGTGACTCTGGGCGGGCCACGCTCCACCCTGGGTCTCAGGCTCCTTCTTCCATACATAAGAGGCCACTGGACTACATGACCTCTAAGGGCTCTTAGAGGTCTGTTGACTCCAATGGTCTGCTGACCTTGGGAGACAAACTCCCCAGACTGCTCCCTGCTCCCAAAAGATCCTCCCTCATTTCCATTCTTCCTCCTTTCCACCCGGACTCTACCGGGCCTGGGAGAGCCCTGGTGGTTTGGGGTCCCCATGAGGCTCCCAACTCTGCTGGCATCTGGCCCTGGCAAAGAGGCTGCCATCAGAGGACAGAGGAGGTGGCTGAGACAGACTTGCCCAGGCTCACTGTGGAGCTGGGGAGACATCTCGCCTGGATACACTTACCTAAAACGGGACATCCCCTGCCCCGACACTGGCGCTTGTTCGAAGCCCTCTTGGTTCTTGGGGACCTCAGTGACAGAGTAAGCAGTGGGACAGTTAGCACAAAAAGCTCTGAAGTCTCTAAAAGGTGGGTTCAAGCTGTAGCTCTGTGGGGCACTGGGCCAGTTACTTTCCCTCTCTGAGCCAATTTCTTCAACTATAAATAGGGAAGACAATCCTTCCCTGGAGACTTTGTTGGGTATGGAGACATTGCATACACTAACAGACAACTAGATTTTGTGAGTGGTGGCTAATTAGAAGAGTCAATGCTGGAAGCTTCTTAGTTGGGCTCTGAAGGCCTGCTGGGAGCTGGCACACAAGCCTTTATCCCCAGCAGCTCCTGCCCCCAAGTGGCTGAAATAATGGTTTAAGTCCCGCCTTCATTCCCGCCCCCCTTTTTCTTTTTAATTTTTAACATTTATTTTGAGAGAGAGAGAGGCAGGCAGGCAGAGAGAGGGAGACTGGAGACACAGAATCCGAAGCAGGCTCCAGCTCTGAGCTGTCAGCACAGAGCCCGATGCGGGGCTTGAACCCATGAACCATGAGATCATGACCTGAGCCAAAGTCGGATGCTTAACTGACTGAGCCACCCAGGCGCCCCTATTTCTCCCTTTCTCATATGCAGATCCTCCTTGGTCTTCAAAGTATAGCACAGTTCCTTCCTTTTCTACGAAGAGCTCCCTGACCGGCCCAAACGGATGGCTCTTCCCTCTGAACGTGGAGCCCTGGCCAGTCTGGGAGCCGTCAGCCATCGCTGCAGCCTCCTGCCATCGCCCCCATCCGCATCCGTGGATCCATCTTTCTGACGCCAGTCCTGCCCTCATCCGTCCAGGGGCCACCATCTACTTATTCGCAGCACATGTGGTCTGCGTCAGGCCCCGTGCTGGTGCTGGCATGCAGAAGGGGGCGGTGGTCCCTGAACTCAGAGTCTCACGGGGAAGGCGCTGACAGTCACAAACCAGTGTCGTCAGTGGGCCTCCTCTCCAGGAGTAAGTGCGGAGATGAGATTTAAATCCATCAACCATCTCTAGGGGTGCTTGGGAGGCACAGTTGGTTGAGTACCTGACCTCGACTCAGGTCATGATCTCATAGCTCAGTTCGTGAGTTTGAGCCCCGCATCCGGCTCGCTGCTGTCAGTGCAGAGCCCTCTTTGGATCCTCTGTGCGCCCCCCTCCCCCCGGTCCCTCCCATGTTCACGTGCTCTTTCTCAAAAATAAATAAATACTGAAAAAAAAAAAATCCACGTACATATATATTTTTAATTTTTTTAAACTTTTTTTAAATTTTGAGAGAGAAAGAGAGAGAGCACGAGCAGGGGAGGGGCAGAGAGAGGGAGAGAGAGAGAATCCCCTGCAGGGTCCACGTTGTCAGCACAGAGCCCAACACAGGACTTGATCTCATGAACCATGAGATCATGACCTGAGCTGAAATCAAGAGTCGGACACTTAACTGACTGAGCCATCCAGGCGCCCCTAAACTTGATTTTTACTGTTTATTTTTGAGAGAGGGAGCGTGAGCAGGGGAGGGGCAGAGAAAGAGGGGGACCGAGGATCCAAAGCAGGCTCTGGGCTGACAGCAGGGAGCCCAGTGTAGGGCTCGAACTCACAAACTATGAGATCATGACCTGAGCCAAAGTCTGACATACAACTGACTTCACCACCCGGGCGTCCCTGAACCTCCTAGTTTTAAGTAATCTCTACACCTAACAGAGGGGCTCAAACTCACAACCCCAAGATCAAGAGCTGCATGCCCCACTGACTGAGCCAGCCAGGTGTCCCTCCATATATAGTTTTTAACTGAGATTCCTTGTCTCATAAATAATCTCAATTCTAAAGGTATTACTTTTTATTAAGAAACCAAATCAAATATTCCAGAACTTTTGCGTGTCCAGCTGTGATATGTGGCTAATTAACAAATAAAGAGCAAATAGAGGGAATATCTTCCCCACTTGCATGCAGCAGCTTAGAACAATAATCTGAGGGCTGCAGTGACTGTAAATGCCACTGGCTTCGGTGTGTCTTTTTATTCTCAGGGGAGGGAGAGTGTGGAGATGAGGGCAATCTACTCCTCTGCAGAAGTTTCAAGTCCACGCATACTGAGAGAAAAAATGACTTTGGTTTGTTTGTTTTTTTTAACCTGGTCAGCCCATAAGCCAGGTCTTGAGTCTCTCCAAGGTGGGCCAGGACCAGGATGGAAGCTCCTGTCGGCCACTGATGCAGCCTCTTTCCCGATCTCCAGCAGAG